TTTCCCTTTATGACTTGTGCCACTGGTATGATGTTTAAGAAGTCTGCCTAAATCAAAGTCACGATAATGCTCTTTGAGACATTTCTAGGTAAATGGATACACCCTGAGACCATACTCTTTAAGTGAAATAAACTGAACACACGTGTGTAAATATTGCATTGTTTCTCTGGTATAAGAAACCAAAAGCCGCCAGGAGTGGTGGCGCACGCCTGTGATCCCAGCACTGAACAGGCTGTGGCAGGAGGATTCTTGCAAGTTTGAGACAAGCCTAGGTTACAAAGTGAGCTCAAGGCCAGCCTGAACTGCATAGCAAGACCCTGTCTCAAAAAAAGACAAAAAAAGAAACTGAAAGTATAAAAAGGACTAAAATGTAAAATAAGTATTGTAAAATGGGAAGAAAATGTTCAAATGGGAAGGGGAACTAGAGAGGGTGAAGGGGGAAAGGAAGGAAGGGAAAAGAAAAAAATTAAAAAACAGGAACAAAACTTCTGTAAATAAAGAGGGAAAGAAGGGTTGAAGGAAAGGTAAGGAAATGAGAAATTTCCTTAATTAAATCATGTTTAGGTACAAATTCCCTATGATGATGTGATCATTATGTATACCTAAAATGTACCAATAAACTTAATTTTTAAAAATGTTAAGTTTACCAAAAAAAAAAAAAAAAACCTGCAACACTTAGAATTCAGTGGTTCTAAGTATTCAGTAAAAATGGTTTTTCTAGAAAAAAATACACTTTGATGTAATTTGTACTTTTTACTCTCACGTTAAGGTGTCTGATGAACTCTGAGGTATCTCATGTAAAGGGCTCGAGTTTTACTTTGTGGGTGATATATATATCCCAGCATAATTTGTTTTAAAAGAAAAGATTATCAAGATAATTCTTTCCCTAAATTATCTTGGTACCTTTGCCAAAAAAATGTAAATTGACCATGTAAAAGAATATACCAGGCCAGGGATATAGCTCAGTGGTACAGTGCCTGCCTGGCAAGTGCAAGGTCGTGAGTTCAATTCCTGGTACCAAAAGAAATAAAAAAAGAATATACCATTTTACCGAACTCTGTCCAGTTCCAGGGCCTATCCTCATACCAAAATCACCTCTCAATTGCTGCAGGATTTGTAGTCATTTTGGATAGTGCAGTGTAAAAATACCAACTTTTATCTTTTTCAAAATTTTAAATGCTCTACAATACAATTATATATAAATGTTAGTATTACCTTGTCAATTTCTACCAAAATGTTAGCTGGAATTCTTTATATAGATTGCATTAAATTAATACACCAATTTGGGGAGAACTGCCATCTTAACAGTTTCTCCACCTAGTCAGACTTTTTCTCTTAGCAATAATTCATAGCTATTAATGTACAACTTTTACACTTGTTTTCAGTTTATTTCTATTTTTCTTTTGATGTAACCACAAATCAATTATTTTATTATACTTTTAGAAAGTTGCTAGTACATAAAAATACAATTGATGTAAGTATATTCACCTAGTATCCTATGACTGCCAAATTATTTCAAAGATTGGTTTTTGCTTTTGTTTTTTGTTGTTGTTATTCTGGGATTACTTAAGATTATTGTAAGATTAGATCATCTGCAAAGAGTTTTAATCCTTTTCAATCTGGAAGCCATTTCCTTTATTGCACTGGCTAAAACCTCAAAAATGAGCATTCTTATTTATCTTGTTCTCAGTCTTAGGGGAAAGCAGTCACTATTTCACCATTAAATATTATGTTAGATGAAGGTTTTCTGTAGATGTCTTTGTCAGGTTGCGAAAGTTAATTTCTACTTCAGGTTTATTCAGAGGTTTTAATCATGAATGGTTATTGAAGCATGTCAAGTGTTTTCTTCATCTATTTAGATGATTAGATGTGGTTTTTTGTTGTTGTTAATAAAACTCTGACATGTAAGCCACTTATTTTTATAAATAAAGATTTATTAGAATACAGCCATATCCATTTTTCTACATATCACTGCTCTGGTAGTAAAACAGTGAAGTACGGTAGTTCCAACAAAAACTATGGTCCAAAAACCTAAAATACTGTGCCACCTTGTTTGGTTTTTTTGTTTTTATTTTTAGTGCTGGGGATGAAACTCCAGGGCTTCAAATATGCTAGGCAAACACTACCACTGAACTATACCCACATTCCTACAGTCATACCTTTTTTAAGATAACATTTGTTGACACTTAGTATATTGCATTAGTTATTTGTGTGTCTGGGGGTTTTTGTTTTATCTGTTTTTGCTTTTTGAGACAGGGTCTCACTCTGTAATTCCGGATGGTAACAAAAAAATCACGATGTAGCCCAGACTAGCCTTGAACTCAGTGATCCTCCTGCCTCAGCCTCCCAAAAGCTGAAATTACAGGCGTGTGCCACCACACCTGGCTTACATTAGCTTTTCTGTGTTAATTCAAACTTGCATTTCTGGAGTAAAAGTCCATTGGTAATGGTATGTATATATATGGTACACAATCCACTAAATATTATGTTACTGAATCTGATTTGCTAATACTTTGTTAAATAATTTTCTTCCTATGTTCATAAACTGGTCTGCAGTTGTCTTGTGTTACCTTTGTTTAATCTTGTTATCAGGGTAATACTGTGCTCACTGAATGAGTTGGGAAGTGTTCCCCTGTTTTCTATTTTCTTTTTTCTTTCTTGTGAAAAACCTGGTATTGCTTCTTTAAATGTCTGAATAGAATGTATCAATGAACTCACCTGAGTCTCAGCTTCACTTTGCAGGAAAATTGGTAATTCATTTTCCTTAATTGTTACACTAAGGGTGATTTAAAAATATGGTGAATGTTTAAAAAAATTTATTACACTAAGAGACATACTGCCATTAATTCTCAATTATAAGGTGTGATCACAAATTCAGTGAATGCTACTGCTGAGTGCCATCCATCAGAAAGGCAGGCTGGTAAAAACATTACGGTGCATTTTCATCCACTGGATTTGACACTGTGTGACTCCTGGCTCTTCCCCAAAGTCAGAATGATCATGAAAGGAAAACATTGTGAATCAATTCACAACAATAAGGCAGCCACGATATAGCAGTTGAAGACACTTATAAAAGAGAACTTCCAGGAGAGCTTCAGGAAGTGGCAAGGATGACGGGATAAGTGTGTTTGAAGGAAGGGGAGTATTCTGAGGAGGGTAAATGGCAATGTATTTCTTACTATGATAAATTTGTTTTAAATATTCACTATATTTGTCAATCATACCTGGCAGGTATATTCATATTTTCTATTTCCACTTGTTCAATTTTAATAACTTCCCTTTTCCTAGGAATTTCATCTAGGTCAATGGTGGCAAACCTATGGAACACGTGCCACAGCGGGCTGGTTGTATCACTGAAAGCTCTAAAAGGTTCATCATCACTGACCTAGGTTGTCTAATTTGTTAAAGTTGTTCATAACATTCCCTTATAATCTTTGAACTTCTGTAACGGAGACATCTCTTTCATGATTGTTTGATCTATGTCCTCTATATTTTTTTGGGCAGTACTGGTAAAGGACTGTCCATTTTGTTTTTTTTTTTTTGGTACCAGGAATCTAACTCACCACCTCACGCTTGCCAGGCAGGCACTGTGCTGCTGAGCTAAATCCCTAGCCCTAGGGTTGTCAATCTTATTGAGCTCAGAGAACCAATTTTGATTTCATAGATTGTTCTCTACTGTTTCTGTCTTCTTTTTTACTCTTCTGCATTACAGAAAACTATAAAAGCAGTTCAAGCATTATAAGAGCTATAAATCTTCCTCTAAGCACAGCTTTAGTTGCATTCCATAAATTTTGATATGTTGTGTTTTCATTTTCATTTAGTTAAAAATATTTTACAGTTTCCCTTGGAATTTCTTCTTTGATCAGTAAGTGTATTGTTTAATTTCAAATATTTGGGGTTATCACAGATTGCTTTCTGTTACAGATCTCTAATGTAATTCCACTATGGTCACAGACTTTATCTTATGTGATTTCAGTCATTGACAATAATCGAAGACTTTTTTATGGCCCAGAATATTCTTTTTTTTTTTTCTTTTTGCAGTGCTGGATATTAAACCTAAAACCATGCAAATACTAGGCAAGCCCTCTATTACTGAGCCACATTCCCAGCCCATCAGAATATTCTGACTATTCTCTGTGAACTTTAAAGTTTATTCTGTATCAAGTTCAAAAACTGAGTTACATCAAACTGTTTGGAAGTACTAATGAATTATTTTATATCCTTGTTAATATTTTGTATAAATACTGTACCAGTTATTAAGAGTATTAAAACCTACAACTGTTATTACTTAGTTGTAAATACTGTATCCATTACTAAGGGTATTTAAATTTACAACTATTGGGGCTGGGGATTTAGCTCAACGGCAAAGCGCCTGCCTGGCAAGCGCAAGGTCGTGAGTTCGGTTCCCGGTACCGGAGAAAAACCAAAATAAATAAATAAATAAATAAATTTACAACTATTATTGCTTAGTTATCTATTTCTCCCTTACCTTCTGTTAGTTTTACTTCATATATTTTAGTGTATGTATTTTTGAGTACATCTTTATAATTATGTTTGCCGCACATATTACCCCTTTGTCATTATGAAATCTTCTCTGTCCCTAGTAATATCCCTTGAACTCTGCTTGATATTAAGAAAGTCACTCAAACTCGCCTATGGCTATTGTTTGCATGACCTAGCTTTATCAACCTTTTGACTTTCAACATTGTTTTCTTTGAACATAAGGTATGTCTATTATAGACAGCCTAAAGCTGGGTCTTGCCTATGAAAGCCCAGGGTGACAAGCTCTACTTTTGGAATAGTCTGTCCATTCACATTTAATATTATCTATTGATGTAGCTGGACTTATACATGTCATTTTGCTGTTTGTTTTTGTACCATCTTTAAAAAATGTTTCTTTTACCGTATTTTGTATGAAGTTCTTTTTTTTTTTTTAAGTGTACTGTTTTTAACCCTTCCTTGATTTTTTTTTTACTATGTATTTTTTGTTATTTTCTTAGTGGTTACTTTTGGCATCACAACATGGACTTTTACCTGGACAAAGTTAAGAAACATAGAAGCCACTGGGCATGATGGCACACACCTGTAATCCCAGCATTCAGGAGGCTGAGGCAGGAGGACCGTTGCGAGTTCGAGACCAGCCTGGGCTACAAAGTGAGCTCAGCCTGAACTACATAGCAAGAGCCTGTCTCAAAAAAAAAAAAAAGAAAAAGAAACATAGAAACCATCTTTATATTTCCTACCCACCACCCTATCATTCCCCCATATATGTCATAAACTCAAAAATATGGTATTAAAACCCTTGCTTTACATACCTGACATCTTCTATAAAACTTAAAATACCAAGAGAAAAGAAATTTATACTTACCTATATATTTATCGTATCTAGTGTTCATCTTTTTTTCTCATGGACTTGAGGGTAAATTTCTTTCAGCCTGAAGAACTTCCTTTGGTATTTTAAGGCAGATCCAATAGCAGTGAACTCTTTTTTTACATGGGAATGCTCCCCTTCATTTGTGATGAGTTGTTTTGTTGGATATAAAATGCTTGGTTAACAGTTTTTCTTTCTATATGTTGCATACACCATCCCACTACCTTTAGACATCCATTGTTTTAGATGACAAGTTAACCATAAATCCTATTGTTGTTCCTGGCACAAAATGAACCCTTCTTTTCTTGCTACTATGAAGGTATTTTCTTTGTCCTTGTCTTCCAATAGTTTGACTCTGATGTGTGCTTATCATACTTGGGGTTCAACAAGTTTCTTGGATCTACATATTTTAATGTTCACCAGATTCAGAAAGTTTCTAGCCATTATTTCTTCTAATAGTTTTCCGCACCTTTCTTTCACTCCTGTCCTATGATTCTCATTACACACACACACACACACACACACACACACTTGATGTTATCCCACAGATCTTACTGGTTCTTTTCATTTTTCTTCAATTTTTTCTCTCTTCTTCATATTAAATAATCTGTACTGCTCTAGCTATATGTTTATCCTTTTTCCTGCTTCCTCAAACTCGCCACTGGTCCCTTCTACTTAACTTTTTTCATTTCACTAATCATATTTTTCAACTCTAGAACTTCTACTTTTTCTTTCTTATAAGTTCTTTTCTTTGAGATTCTTTATATTGAGTCACTACCATCAATCTTTCTTTCAATTCCTTAAACATAGTTCAATTTCTTTTAAATATCCATTATAACTGCTTTGAAGTCTCTGCAGTAAGAGCCAACTTTGGGATCATTCACAGCCAGTTCTCACTGATTTTTCTTCCTGAGTGAATTTTGCCTTCTAAAAAACTTTTTCTTCGTTGAATGTTGAACATTTAAAATAATGTGCTAGGAGTTGGAGGTTTAGCTCAGTGGCACAGTACCTGCCTGGCAAGCATGAGGTCATGAGTTCAATTCCCGGTACCAGAAAAAAAAACAACAACAACAAAAAAAGATAAAATAATGTGCTAAGGTTGATAGTAATGGTCCAATATGGACTAAATATGAGAAGTCTGACTCCCCTATAATAAATAGTTCCTGATGATGTAGGCTTTTTTCCTTTTGTTTTTATTCTGAAGCCTAATTCTAGAAATTATCTATCTGTCTACACAGCTTACTGTTCAAAGATTGGTCAGAGATATCTTGTACTCTGAGTAATTAATTTAAAAATAACAATATGCAATGTATTAACCATTGTTATGCTCCTGTTATCTTGTTTTGAAACTTTGTGGGTTTTTTCTCTATAAAATAAAATTTAAAAAAATAAAAGAAAAAAAGATTGGTCAGAGATCAAGCCCAACCACCCTGAGCACTTTCACTCTCTGCTACTTAATCTGTGGTTGGGATGAGGAGCACATAAGCTTTAGGCTTTTCAATCTGTTTCAGTTTTTTCTTTCTGCTAGGCTTTCTCTCACATCCCTTGCACTGGCCAGGATGTGTGGGATGGCTTGGGCACATACTGGTTTCTGGCGTGCATCCCCTGGTCGACCTAGAATATGTGGGGAGCTCATGAGTGGGGAGCCCTACAGTTGCTTCACCTCTCAGACTTCCCTTCTACAACCTGCTAGCCCACTGTTGTCTCAGACAAAACTGCAATCTCAAGCCAGCAAACCTGCAGGCCCTCACTGTTTCACTTGCCATGCAGATCATCACCTTTTTTTTCCTTTGGTGCTAGGGATCAAGTCTTTGGGCCTTATCCACGCTAAGCAAATGCTCTTTCCTGAGCTATGCCCTCATCCCCAAGACTATGACTTTGAATAACAATACTCCAAATCAAGAGAGCCTGCTCTATAGCAGTAGGAAAGCTGCGAGTTTTCATGGCCTGCCCCAGCATGGTTTACCTATTGCACTGTCAGTGTTAGGAGAGTGGGAAAAATCCTAAACAATACAAACTTCTGCTGCTCTTGGCCCAAATTCAGTGGCTTCCACGAATAAATGTTATAAGCCTTTGGTTGGTTCCAACGTTTCTGTTAAGTTTTATAATTGCTTTTGGGAAAGAGGATCTATTGACCTCTTCACCCACTTGTGTCAGAAATGAATCTCTTCAAGTATGTTTCCATAAACATCATTAAGTGATTAAATCTTTATCTCAGTGAAATTAAACAGCCAGTCAAACCTATCTTCCTGGAATCTGACCCAAGTGCAATAGCACCTAAACTTCTCAGAGGAATAAAGTCATTCTAGGATTATGGAATCAGTTCCACTTCCAAAAACCAACAATCCATACACTCAAGTTATTTTCAGTTCACATTTCCCCAAAGCCCTATTTACAGTTACTAGTACCTTCTATGTGTGTATATAATCTGATCAAGCCCCAGAGCCATTCTTGTAGAAGGCAAAAATACATAAACTTAGACCTTGTCACTAGGCAGGTATTCAAATAGGCACCAGACACTGGTGCACAGTGAGTCTTACTGCTGAGTACACTGAGTCTTACGGCTAACAGTGGCCACTAGCTCAGTTACAGTCACTATGTGATCATCAGCATGTATGGGTATCTATCACAAATCCTGCCCCACTGCCCCAGGCTTAACACTGACCCTAAGCAGTCAATACTACCCCAAGACCCACTGCCCCAGGATTAACACTGACCCTACGTAGTCAATACTACCCCAAGACCAAGAGTTCTGAGTCTTAATGTTTATACCCACAACTAATAACCGGGTAGGTTGAAAGCACAGCTCTTCCACTTATCAAACTTCCACTTACCTCGATTCCTCCTGTCTTTATCAGTTCCCCATCTTCTCCCTCCCCAGGCCTGGTAAGTAATTCCTAACCATGCCCCTGAGTTTTCCCTGCTTGCTCATTACCTCTCAAATACTAGATTTCATAGTCAGTTTCCACACTCTCCATACTGCCTGTTTCCTGACTGAAGCTATCACATTGGACAATGTTTCTGTTCATTCATGTCCTCCTACGAATGCTCCTGTAGCTTCTCCTGATAGCGAATCAAGTACCGCTCCTGAGAGACAAACATTTACATGATCCAAACTGGTCTTATCCTCATTCCTGAGTAGTTAAATTTGAGCACACATTCTCTAGTTATTCTATGTTGAACATGAGTGCTAGAAAGCTATGATAAGCAGGGCAGGGCAGGGCAGGTACAGATATTTTCCCTTCATGGACATAGAAGCAAAGAAGAGCAATCTCTTTTTTTTTTGGTTTTGTTCCAGTACCGGGAATCGAACTCACGACTTCACGCTTGTCAGGCAAGCGCTATGCCACTGAGCTAAATCCCCAGCCCCTAAGAAGAGCAATCTCAAAGAGAAGAAAAATGTGAACCAGAAGCATCAGAAAAGCAGAGGAGACTACATACGGCCATGGAGGATGGGAAGAAATCTTGGTCTTCATGCTTTCTCTGCCCCTTCATCCTGCAGAGATCTCTACTTTCCAACAGTATCTCCATTTTCAACTAGCTTGAAGGGTTTTTGTTCCTTGCAATTGAACTACTAGGGGGAGGGAGAAAATCTCTTATTCTCACAATTAAGATTATTTTGGTGAAAATGATGCTTTGACATGACTTTTTCTACTGCATCTCAGTTATATTAACAGAGTGCTAGGCAACTGAGATACTAAACAATCCAGACATCAAACAAATAAAAGTCCCAGCACAAGATGATTACACAAAGGATTTCATATATTCCTTCACTCAACACATGAAAAAATACTCCCTGGAGGAAACATTGATGTTAGGTTCACGTAATAAATAATTATGTCAGTAGGACTGATCACATAAAGTTATCCTATCTATAGTAGCACAGCCTCATTACAAACATCTGTGCATACACCGTGCACATGAACACACACACTCCCCACATGGAGAGATTTTGGTTTGAGTCACAGTCAGAAACAGCACCCCTTATTTTTTACATACAGTAACTATGACCACTGCACTGAGCCTCCTCCTTCTAGCTAGGCTGCAAGTATCTTTCCATCTTCTCCGCCTCCTTCCTAAGCCATTTGCCCTATGATTCTCAAGGTGTAAACTTTTCAAGAATCCTTCAATGAGTTCATCTAATATTCATCCCTCTTATGAGTGACTGATGCTCAATTCATTTCTACCTGTGAAATAAGGCTGCTGATGAGTAAGCTGTCAAGTGACTACAAACAAACTTCAGTGTTTATAAACTAATATTAACAAGAGATTCATCAGTGTTCTACTAAAGTCTGGCTGCCATGTAATTGGTAGCAAGGTAGGAAGATCTTTCTGTGAATGTTCACATAAAATCAGTGGGAAATCTTACAGTTCTCAGGAGAATTCCATTATCACTGTTGAGGGAGTTACTGGTGGTTTTCAACTGCTGCTATTCTTCCTTTATAATCGTCAATTATGGCTCATTCAGCATCACCATTTTCAGCTTAGCTTGATACATGCTGTGTATAATGACAGGCATTGTATCAATAGCATCTTTTTAAATTTTCCAGTAATTACACTGTGATGGGTATATTATGCCATGTTTCAAATATGAACCCTAAGTCAACTGCTGATGCATACATATCATCCTTCCCACAAAGTTATTTGTGTTTAACCGTCCTTTACCAATAAGTTCTTTTCAACTAGAAAACAGGAATATACAGGTTAAATAGGTAAGGAGGTGTTTCACATGTCTAAGTCAGCTGAAGTCAGCAAAAGC